TCAAAAACTACCTAAATACCTTCCTGATGGCTTCAGATACCCCCCATGGCTGAAATCCCCGTCAAAAACTACCTAAATACCTTCCCGATGGCTTTAGATGATTTAAATAATTAATTAACATAATTAAAAAGTATTAAAGTAACTTTACCTTCCCGATGGCTTTAGATACCCCCCATGGCTGAAATCCCCTTCAAAAACTATCTAAATACCTTCCCGATGGCTTTAGATGATTTAAATAATTAATTAACATAATTAAAAAGTATTAAAAAGTATTAAAAGTATTAAAAAGTATTAAAGTAACTTAAGAAAGCTATCTGGGCGCGGGAATGGGCCTGGGGAAGAACGGGGAAGGGAAAGGGGGCGTGGCCTCCCGGGAGAGGGGCCCCCACCCCTTTTACTAAGGAAAAAACTTTCAAAGTTAATTTTAATAATTTAAATTAAAACGTTTTCATAATTTTTTATCAGTTTGGGGGTTTCTGACCACGCTCTATCCGAATCCGAAGAGACCTAAGCTCTAGCTCCTTTCCCCTTCGAGTTGAATCTGGGACACGACGGACGGACACCTCTACTTTTTTATTATAGTTGATAGTGGTGGCGCCCGAAGAGGGAAACGGCACCTCATTACCGTACAAAATCAACAAATGATTTGGACTCCTCCTAACGCATAGCTATATACTGTATTTGCTGCACCTGCCTATTATAACCCCCCTCTAATACAACCCCGTCCCCCGGGGTGATAGAAAAATAGAGCCCCCCTCTCTAATACAACCCCTAAAATTTTTTCTCATATTATACTCAGGAGCTAAAAAACTCGAAAAAGGGTCTGTTTATGCGTGGCACTGCCTTGTTCAGCGATTTTAAGCGCCCTACAGTTAAAAAATGTGTTTTGATATCATCCTATTCTATAAGCGAGAAGATATGTCTGTTTCTGTGCCCCCGTTTTCTCGAACGGCAGGCCGAATTTCCAGCTGATTTTTGGCATGGAGGTGGAGAAACACGCTCTCTTTATAGGCATTTTTTTTGTTTTATGAAATTCCTTTATTTAACGATTTTACAAACAAAATACGCCCAGGCTCAAAATTGGAAGTAAATTTGCACACAGATAGAATTGACCACGCTGATCATCACATCGTTGTCCAAATTTGCTACTGATCTTTAAAACCGGAGATATGCAACTTTTTAAAGTGAACCCTTAGTTATTATCGTCAAACTTTGACCTCGATTACCTTGTTCCGTTTTGGGTATTATTAAACAACGGGTAACTTTCGGAAAAACAAGCACCGCCACCGTATTCATAAAAATTGTCTCTTCCGAATGAGGCCCCTAACTCAAAAAGTGTAAATTTCCTGATTACTGTAAAGTGTTTTTCTTCAAGTTCAAGTTTCGATTCGGGACCAAGTGCATCTTGTGCAGATTGGAGAGTGACCAGGCAGAGTGCACCCTATTTTTTTTATAAATAGCGGATGCGTTTCTACATGGTTTTAAACTATTGCAGAGCATAAAAACTACATACATTAAAAATTTAATTTTAGGTCGAGAAATCCTATAGAACCTTTAGGATTAGTTGGGGGAAAGACCCAAAATGAATGACTTTTTCAAACATTTTTCGAACTTTTTTTTGAACGTTTTTCTACTTTAAATATAGTTAAAATTTACTAAAAACAATGGGAAAACACTTTATATTTGATTACTAGGTCAACCCGGGCCGCCAGGAAAAAATTTGGTCCCCCCCCCCCGGAAATCCTAAAGAACCAAATAAATATCGCCATCGTATTCAGAAATTTTTGCTCTTTCAGATGGGCTCTCTAACTCAAAATTTTCGAAAGTCGAAAAATTGGAGAAATTGACTTCGATTTTCGTATGGGAAATAGTGAAAAACTGCGCACTTCAAACAGCTGTAAGACGTCGTCTAGACGAAACCTGCCGTAATGAAAAAACCATTTAAATCAGAAAAATTTTTGAAAAAAGGGTACCTAGCTCTAGAAATAGCCGTAAAAACGCGAAAAAAAATAGCGCCGCAGGCAGTAACATTTTTGAGAAAAAAAATCATAAGGGTCCCCCTTATGAAATTTTCGGGCCCCGGCCGAATTCGGGGCGGGGCCGGTATTACTACGCTACGTCCCTGCATATAGCTACAGCAAGCACACACAAAATTTCTCTGATAGTGCATTGGACCAAAATGATCATAGGATTTTTGCGGGATCACGTCGTCCGAAGGCTCCTCTCTCATTACCAACTACAATTACCTGGAGGGGCGTGGGGGGCGTAACCTTGAAAACCCGATGGCTGGGACGTCCTCTAGGTGCTGGACACCAAACGCAATGGGGAGGGGCGGGGAGGCCCTTCTCTCAGCACTTTTTTTGCATCCCACGCCGCATGCCCCTTCCCCGTGCCGCTTGCCCAGCACATTCGCAACACTGGCGCGGGACCGACGTTTTTTTGCCGTAGTTTTTGCCGTGGCTCGGCAGTATACGAGCCGGCACCGAACCCGGCATTCTCGCTTCTAGGAACCATCGAGCGCTGCCTTTTCTCATAGACCTCTTAAACCGCCACCCTATCTTCCAACCACACTTTCTGTCCCGATGACCCCCGGCCCCCCGCGTTGGAAAAATTTGGCGTCGCGGCCGTCTCCTCAACACTTTTTGCATCTCCACGCCGCATCCCCGTGCCTTGCGCCGCTTGCCCAGCACATTCGCAACACTGGCACGGGACCGACGTTTTTTGCCGTCGCTGGGCGGCATATAAGGGCCGCGCCGAACCCGGGGCCTTCACTTCTACTAACTCGCAACCGACAAACCCCTTCGCCGTTGACCTCTCGCTTCGGCGAGTTTTTCACCTTTCCGGGTTCTTACCACATTTGTTTACCACATTGGTATTGAAAGTATTTGGGTAGTTCTATCTGGCCGGGGGCAAAAATCTACGCCGAGGGCAAAACCGCCGGGAGAGTTTTAGTTTTCGAGATATGGGTTCTTTAGGATTTGCGGGGGGCGGGGGGGGGAATAATTTTTTTTCCTGGCGGTCCCGATTGACCTAGTAATCAAATATAAAGTGGTTTTGCATTGTTTTTAGTAAATTCTAACTATATTTAAAGTAGCAAGCTTTCAAAAAAAGTTAGAAAATGTTTGAAAAATTCGGAAATTTGGTCATTTTGGGTCTTCCCCCCGCTAATCCTAAAGGTTCTATAGGATTTTTCGACCCAAAATTAAATTTTTTAATTAAAATGTGTGTAGTTTTTGATGCTTAAGCATAGTTAAAACAATTTAGAAACGCAACCGCCATCTATAAAAAATGGAAGCTTGTGCCGAAAAAAAATTTGGTTTCCCCCGGAAATCCTTCCCCCCCCCCCGGAAATCCTAAATAACAATTATAAGCCAATAATTTTGTAATTAAAAACGTTATAGCTAAAACAAAAATAACAATGAAACAGGGGTTGAAACATTAGTGTTGATACTTTCGTTATTTTGTTTGATTAATGACGCCATTCTATAGAGCGTAAAAAATATACAAACCGGTTTGATTATAGCCTAAACTAATGTAATAAAAAAGTCGTAGCAAATACAAGTTTTAAAAAGGCCGTTCGCGGGTCACCCGAACAGGGCTTAACACAGTTTTTTCGACCCCGATTTTTTGCTGCCATCTCAGGGACTCCATTAGAGGAATCGCGGTAATTTCGGTATTTTAAAATCACGTTGTCCTGGTTAAACAGGGGATTAAAGTTTCCAAGCTCGAAAATTTACCTCGACGTCTGCTGGACATAATTGGTGGAAACTAGATGCTTAGGCCTAATTTGGGATGGGAGTCTAACACATCGCGACGCGCGAAAATCAGCAGAACGTAGTTAAATGTCATATCTAAAATAGTTTTTGTGGAGTTTCGCATTAACGGCGAGTCAGCCGCCACCTCCTGAAGCCAAGCTCAAAAGACGGGCGGGGTGAAGGAGACGGGGGACATGAAGGGTCTGTGAGGGCCGCCGCGGGGCCGCCCAATTCCCGACGCCAACTAGGGTTTCAGAACGAGAGCGGAATGTACCTTTAAGCCTGGCCCTTGCCTTGGGGATTTTTCCAACGCGATCCCAAAAAAAAAACAATTTTCAACGCGATCCCAAAGGAACAAAAAAATATACTTAAAGGGATACCCAACCTATCCGGTCCTCAAAAAGCAAAAACCACGTAGCGACCCGGGATTCGAACCCGCCGCCCGCGCTTTGTCGGGCCTGGACGCCATCCATTAGGCCATAGTGGCCAGCCATCGGGCAGGATGGGGCCGTCACAAAGAGAGAGGGGCCCCATGCCAGCAAAAGGTCGACCCTTACCAGGTCAAAGAGGGGCTATGGGGCCGAGTCGGGAAAATATATAGTTATGGATCTGCATCCAAAACCTTGGGTTTCCCTTCAAGATTTTTTTTCACAATTTAGAATGAAACCAGGGTTGAAAAGCTGCTTTTCACCCCTGGCTTCTCCGCGGGGACCTTTAATACACGGACACTTTACATACTATAACAATTGGCAAAAATACGATTTATGTTAGGATCCGAGCACCACGGGAATTACGTGAGCCCGACAAACCCCAGAAAGAGCTGAATTAATTCTCGTATGCAAATTAGTATATTTCCATATGTTTTAAAAACGTTAAAATAAGGTATAAAACGCTATTTTAGTAAAAATCTGATAAGCGTGCAGTATTCTACGCCCTCGAATACCTCTAACTATATATAAGGCTATTGGATTTCCTTTAGCTGTGCTTTGGATAGGTATATTCTTCAGATTTTCTTAGAATTTTATTGCTTTTTCTTTTGCTTAATAATTTTTATATAATAAATCTTTCTTGAAAATTCATTCTTAAAATTTTTATTCATACGACGTTTTTTCATAGAATGGTGCCACGCGGCTCGGGCACTCGGGTCAAACAACCGTCTAAGTTTCACTTCAGATAAAATAATTTCTGCTCTTTAAATGCCCTGCATACATAAAAACAGTTTCCCACAATGAGGTTTTTCAGGTGATGATGATCCCGACCGGCAAGCTTTTGTTGTTCTTGATCTTTACGGCGAATACCGCCGGGACAGACTGTTGGTACTTTTTGTCTCTTTAGCGCATCCGTATCTTAAATATTTCATAATTTATAGACGGGGAGGCATTTCAACGATACACGGAAAGCTGGTGGACGGTGGCCCAGCCCGGTTTCGAAGGGCTGGAAAAGATGCGGGCCCTAGCCGGACGTGCCGACACCCTTCTCACCCTCGCGGGCCCCGTGGGCGCAGTGATCGCCGCCGGTGCAAAAGTGATATTCCCGGTAAGCATTTGTTCCCTTGTTGATGCCGCGGTTTACAAACCGAGACCGACTAACTGGTTTCCTAAAGACCCCGATTGTGTATTAATTTTAAGGCTCTGGAACCTGTTTTTCGAAACTTTTCGGCTGCGGCGCTGTGTTTTCGTCAATGTGCCCATGTAACAAAAATTTTTTCGGGCCCCAGGGATATTTCTTTCTCGCTACGCCCGTGCGTATCGGATTTCGGGAAAATTCTAGGAAACGGGCCGGATTTCAAGTGGTCATGCCTGCAGGGTCTAATTCCCCGGAAATTCCCCTACCCCCACCCCTGCCAAAATCAAGGGGTACACATAGGATAACAGGGGGATAAAATAACGGGGGCACTCATTATTATGACATTTTGAATTACTGTGGGATTTTGCGAGTGCCATTCGGTAGAACGTCGAAAAATATACTAAGAGAATTAATTTGAACCCAAAATAATGTAATGGAAATTTTTTATTGAACAAACAAAAATTGAGGAAAATCTATGGGCAGCACGTAGGATAACGGGGGGCGGGAGGCTCCCGACACTTGCGCCGCGACACATGCGCCGCGACATTTGCGCCCGACACTTGCGCCGCGGACACTTGCGCCGCGACATTTGCGCCGCGACACTTGCGCCCGACACTTGCGCCGCGGATCGTATATGGATTTAAACTGTAGTGAATTTGGTATTTCGCGCGAATTTTGTATGTAATTACTGTATTTTGCATTAAAAGCTGACAGAAAGTCGTAACGCCAATTCGGAGCGTTTCTAAAGGCGTCAGGCAAGGTGGGCCGTCGCTTCGGATGGGCTGCCGCTCCACTCTTTCGAAATCGGGGCGCCTGGCCGCTACGCGCGCCTCAGGCGCCCTGATCTCGAAACCCTGTACGAGCTCGCACCCATCCGAAGCGACTAGGCCCCGGGTGGCACGAAGCCTTTTTCTAGTCGCAGAGCGGAAGAAGTAGCATATTAAACATCTTTCTATCGTTTCTTTAACCAGAACACTCCGCGCGAAAAATTGCATCTTCAAGTAGCTGAGACTCGGTATCCGGCGCAAGTGTCGCGGCGCAAGTGACGCGGCGCAAGTGTCGGGCGCAAGTGTCGCGGCGCATGTGTCGCGGCGCAAGTGTCGGCCGCAAGTGTCGCGGCGCATGTGTCGCGGCGCAAGTGTCGCCGGCGCAAGTGTCGCGGCGCAAGTGTCGCGGCGCAAGTGTCCGCGGCGCAAGTGTCGCGGTACCGGGCGGGACGCCAAATTTTTGAGATTTTCGATATTTTGAAAACGCGAATCGATAGAACATCAAAAAATAAACTCTTACTGTAAAGCGTTTTTACTCAACTTGGAGTTTCGATTCGGGACCAAGTGCATCTTGTACAGAATTTTTCGCTGATTCCGAATATGTTTTCCAAATTTGCTACGGACCGTTATTCTGAAAGTTATACGGCAATTATGACCCTAGTTTTCACCAAAGTGAAGGTATCGTTATAGTTTTCGATTTCCTTCATTAAATTCAACGTCAAAATTTACTAGGCGTTGGCTCGACAATCATCCTACAGCTCAAAACAAGCATTTTAGATAAAAAAATGAGCTTTTTATGCAAAAAGCAAAAGAAACGATGCAGAGCGGGGGTTCGAACCGCCGCCCTGCGCTTGGCAAGCGAGTACTTTGCCAATGCACCATGGTGCCAACTGGGAAGGGTGCTGTCAGAGGGTACTTCAGGGCCCCTGGGAACCATAGCCCCAAACAAGGAATAGTGGGCCAGCGTCTGAATTTTTGGCATTTTTCGCCCTAATTGTTACCAAAAATGATTTTTTAAATAAAAGTCCGTAGCAAATTTGGAAAACATATTCGGAATCAGCCAAAAATTCTGCACAAGATGCGCTTGGTCCCGAATCGAAACTCCAAGTTGAGTAAAAACGCTTTACAGTAAGAGGTTTTTTACAACGCGAAAAAATGTATTATAAAAGTTTTATAGCCTAAAAACTATTTTTATAAACTATCGGCAGCACAATAGGATAACGGGGGAAACAAATTTTCGGCGTTTTGAATATTGAAAATGCCATTCGATAGAGGACCGAAAAATATACTAACAAGGAGTCCTTTTTAAGTGATATTGGAGTTTTTGAGCGAGACCTAGCTAGTTCGATAGAGAAAAAAATTCTGAGCAAGATGTCGTTTCCCAAATCTGCTAACCGTGTATTGTATTCGATAAAAACTAATTTGAAAATCATTAATTTCGCCATCATTTCTCACCTGATCCGCAGTTTTGGCTCTGAGGGTGCGTATGAATATAGCCCCCTTCAGACCCTTGAACCACCATGATCGCGTGGCATATTGGTAGTGCACTTGCCTCATAAGTTACTAACAGCAGCTAATCAAAAAAAGTTCCGAACCCCCGAGCATAAATTTGCAAAAGTTTGATAGGCGCCTGCACTATCCACTAGGCCACCATCTCACGCGAATGCTGGTTCGCATTGCGGCCTATGTCCCGGGCCTGATCCATGCGTGGCAGCGTGGCGCCACGGAATTTTTTCATTAAAATTCATTTTATCGAATACAATACACGGTTATTATAAAATACACGAATATAAAAAGTTTGAGTGCCCCCCCCCCGTTATTCCCCCCCGTTATCCTATTTGTACCCATCCCTGCACAGAGCGATTTGCGTCCGATAGCTCTAGCGCGGATCGATCGCGGTTCTCGTTCGCTAGGTAAACTACATAGTATAGATTACGAATCCGCTTTTAACGTTTACTGTGTTTTTGCTATCACTTTCCTAAATTATAGTGTTTTGAATTTGGACCAAATTTATGGGATTCTGAGAAAAGTTCTAACAAATCGACCAATTTTCCCAGGGATATATTTCAGTCAATGTGTGTCAAATTCTGATGATCTCATTCTCGAGCGATGGCTACTCTTCGAGAGCTATCGATTTGCGTTAGTCGTATGCAAATCGTCCTACTTGTAAGGTTTTGACAAATACGGCGAAAATTCCAATAGGCAGCAAGCCTATTTTGTGCAGAATTTTTCGCTGATTCCGAATCTCTTTCCCAAATCTGCTGAAGAACCCGCATTAAAAACAAAAACAATCAATTTAAACTCCCTTTAAAAATCAGGCGACTTTCTGGACAAACACAGACCACGCGGATGGGATGGCAACGCTTGAAAAATTAGGCGAATTACAAAAATTTTGATCTACAGGCCCGGGAGATAGCTTATTTGTAAGAGCACTACCCCAGGATATGGCGTGTTTTTATCCAGAAAGTAGCCTACAAGATTTTTAGAGCGAGTTGAAATTGGGTATTTTTGGACAGTTTATAAGAAAAATCGCGATACCTTTTTAATGCGGGCTCTTCAGCGGATTTCGAAAAAACAGATTCGGAACCGCGAAAAATTCCGCACGGGCTAGAGTTGGTCTCGAAGGGAATTTCCAGTCTATGTAAAAAACACCTTACAGCAAGCAGAGATAGCCGACTGACACAATTTTTTAGTTTTGCCAAAAAAACTTCTCGGAACTGTACTTCAGTCCCCGGAAATTTTGGTTGCATGGGACGCGTTGTCAGCCAGCCCAGGGCCACCATTGGCATTATCTCCTGTGCGGGAAACTATTCAGGAATTTAGCAAACCTGCCAAAAATTTAGACGGCGAAAATTCCTGCCAGCCTGTTTAAAAACACTTTACATTTACGAACCGCTTTTCCACGTCAGCCCACATTATCATTACCCTTTTTAAGCCGACGTCTCCGGAAGCCCGCGCCATCGAACAGCTCAAAACGCAGATCTTCGAGCAGAATCAGGGTTTGTTTTCAAAAAGGGAGCGGCACGGCATGCGGTCGAATTTACCTTCCTCATAGGGGTTTGGAACCAATTATTCCCTCTCCTTCCATTTCCTCTAGTTAAAGGGATGCCCAACCTTTTCGCGGCTCAAAAAGCAAATACCATGCCGCGGGCGGGGGTCGAACCCGGGACCCCCGTTTTGTAGGCCTGGATGCTATCCATTAGGCTATAGTGGCAAGCCATTGGATGGGATGGGGACGCCACAAGAGGGAAAGGTGGCCGAATTCTGTGCGGCATTGGGGGCCCATTGCCGCACAAAATTCGAGCGCCATTTGTACTGCCCGGAATCCATAACTATATATTTGCCGCCAAAACCTTGGGTATCCCTTTAATGGTCGACGGCTACCCAAAAGGTAGTCTTTGGCTCTCCAGTCTTTGGGCGGAAAAAGCCCGAAAATCAAAAACTTGCAAAACGCCAGATAGAAAATGTTTCTTTTCTTTCCGCTCAAAAACGACCGTGATGCTAGATATTAGACTGAAGTCCAAAAAATGTAAAGATCTGAATTAGCGGAAGCGGAAAAATCCCAGTTTGTTAATAATTGCTTGCTCAGCGATTCGCCACGCCCTGCTAGCCGGGTTTGCGGCAACACATAAAGCGATGGTGTCACTCAGCTGGGACGAGGTATCGTTTGCGAACTTTTCACACGACATGCTTAGAGAGTCCGAACCCCGGTGACCAAGCTCGAGGAGGCATTCAACGATGTACTCCTAGACCCGGCGACGATGCATCTACACACAGACGACTATAAAAACCGCTGCAAGGACAATACACCGCTAAGTGTGCTGAAAGTGAGTTGAAAATTAGCTTCGTTTAACTGCATGGATAAGAAATTCTCTGTCAGATATTCCGGTAACTGGTGATCAACGCTATTTAAAAGGCCAACTGGGGGTCACCCGAGCAAGGCTTGGCGCAGTTTTTTCTACTCAATTTTTATGATGCCATCTAAAGATCGTGGCCGAATTAGTAGAAGGGCATAGTTTTGAAAGGTAAAAAAGTTAGTTTTTGTGGTTAAAATGGGGGTTAAAGTTGCCGATCACCAAAACACTATCTCGACAACTACCGAAGCGAATTTTGCTGAAAATTGGTGTCAATGCCTAATTTTGGATGGAGATCATTTCTTTAATACATTGGAAAACCTAAAAATGACCGGAACATTGTTAAATCGCATGCTGAAAAACAGTTTTCGACATTTTCGAGGTTTGGAACACCTTAACTCAATTTCAGAATAGCATAGAAAGATGCGCCAAAGAATTCTGCGTCGAATGATTTATTGATTGTGTTGCGCCCAGGTGTCCCAATTTTTATTATAACGCGATTTGTGTGCTGAAAATGCACTAAAAACAAAAATACAAAATTGCTAGTTTTGAAAATGCAAGTTATGAATTTGCATGTAGTCATCATGCTGAAGCCATTGTAAAAACAGAGCAAAAAGAAATTCGGCTCCTGAGATAGGGCTGGGATTAAACCGGGGTCACCTCTGGATTGGCACGCCGATGCCCTACTCATTGCGCCGCAGGGTTCCCAGGCACACGACCCGAGTTCGATTCCGCAACATCGAAATAAATCGAATTTAGTTTTGCTCTTTTTTACAATCGCTTCAGCATGATGCCTACACGCAAAGGTAGTTTTCGAGATAGTTTTTTGCAGTTCGGCAACTTTAACCCCCATTTAAACCTCAAAAACGGGAAACTTTTCTTTCGAGAAAAAACTTTCAAAACTATGCCACTCCTTTTCGAGAAATTCGGCCACGCTCTTTCCGATGGCATCATAAAAATTGAGTCGAAAAAACTGTGCCAAGCTATAATGAACAGTTCGAACCTTTTAAGACAATATACGATCTGGTCGTCCGTCCCTGCGCAATTCCCACAGAGGCCGATGTGCTGCTATCAATTAGCGCAAGGAAAACCCTTCGGCGAATCGAGTCGACACGTAAGTACATTCGGTGTAACAGGGGGAAGAGAATGTAAGAACAGGCTTGCCCCTAATCCTACTATATATAAAAAAATAGTGTCTGTGTGTGTGTGCCACTTTGCATGCAACTTCCGTCAGCGTGTCCGGAGGATATCTCACGAAGGGAGGGGTGTAAGGAGGTGTTTGATACGCCATTAGACGTGTAATGGTCTATAGATGACTGCACGCATATCAGATTTTTCAAAATCGATTGTTTTCGACATTAAAATGAAGCTTTTCTTAAAAAATCGGTCACCCTCTTTGTTAGGAAAAAATTAGCATACGCCGGAAGTTGCGGTAGCCTATATAACGGGCAGAAGGGAGCGTTTTTCATTATTTTTAATGGCAGTTCGGGTGTATTATGCAAAGTGAAGAATTTCATGAACTCAACCCTGGTTAATTCTAAAAGCGTAGAAGGAATCTAACAATGTGAATACATTTTCAGTGCCTAGTCCAGCGCCACACACCGCGGCCAAGTACGCAGACGCCAAGATAGGTGAGCTGATTTCGAAAATCAGGTCCAATGTTTTCAATGAACACAACAAATATAATATATTTCGAATGCTGTAGCTCCAAATTTCCTGAGAGAGACTGGATTAATTATGTAGACGGAAACCCAATGGTAATATCGCAATCAAGCAATAAACTTTTTATGTAGCGTTTTCGGATTTGCAAGCATGGCCATCGTGTTACGGAGGGTCAAGAACTCCTTTTTGCTAACCGGCTTTTTCTCAGGCAGGAAGAAGGCGTTCGGGGCATCGATATGACCCGCTCGACGGCAACGTCCTGCCCTAGCTGCTAGAAACCTTGCGCCAATCCATGTACGCAAATCATAATTACATTTTCGCCCTGCTGAACACGATGGTGATGTTTTCGAAATCGGAAAATGCTCCACGAAAAAGTTGATTTTCGAGAATTTTTCAAAATGGAAATTTACCGATCAAACTAGCCTTTTTGCTTGGTTTCGATATTGCCATCGGATCCCGTCTACATAAATAATCTAGTCTCCAATTTTCGAAAAATTTGGAGTTTCGACATTCGAAATGCAGGCGATTTCCCAAGCTGATAACTTTTTGACCGCTACTGTACAGGGTGTCCCAATAAAAACGGTCACGCTGGCATTTTGCTATTTCAAATCCGATCGGCTTGAAAATTCGATATGGGATTTAAAAATGTTCACAAAAACTTTCAGCCCGATCGGTACAGTCGTTCAAGTTATGGCACGCATTGCAATGCAAATCTTGCAAAAGTATTGAAACAAAACCCGCAAACGTTGGTAAAATCTTAGAATCTCGACTGAAAAACTCTTGACTAATAAAGCTTGACTGACACAATCTCGACCGATCAGAATCTCGAATAATTAGAATATCGACTAACAAAATCTCGACTGACAGAATCTCGAATGGCCGTGTAGCCTTAGAAAATCAGTCAAGCCCATTGCGCGAAAAGCGTTTTCAATCTCAGAAATACCTAGTCGAATGTGTAGCGTGTAGTAACGACCGACTTCATGGGACATCAAAGACAAAAGATAGTCGAATCACCGTACACTTTTCTGCTTGCGTTTCGTGCTTTGGAAGTCGTTCATATTTTTCAAAGTGCCCATTTGATTTGATTGATTTGGGAGGACCGGTTCCGACGCCGCTATCATCGGAAATGACAGGTTCTGATCGTTCGAGATTCTGTAAATCGAGATTCTAATCATTTGATCTACTGGCAGTCGAGATTCTAATTAGTCGAGAATCTGATCGATCGAGTTGTGTCAGTCGAGATTCTGATCGGAAAGCCAAACGTCGACTTTCAAACCTGACGTCCTAGATCGAACTTGGAACAACAACGAGTCTCTTCTCAATCACTGTACATTAAGATTTCATCGTCCGCATCACACAAACACAGGATTCTCGGGCATATGCGAAGCTGGAAAAACTCACCAAAGGTGCGTTTTCAGCCATTGATACTAAACGCCCCGCTTGGGTCAAACTATAGGGCCACGGTTTTAGGACCTTAAAGAGATAAAGACGGCATAACTCAATCCGTCACGCGGGGGAAAGGGGTGTCTCTGCGTCTCTCTCATGGGCAGGGAGGTTGCGTAAAGTCGGCTCCGGTCTCGGCCTGCGGCGCTGTCTCTTACGGTTTTTAAGACTATTTTTAATGCTATGCAACCTATTTTTCCAAAATTTTCCGCCTGCGGTGCTGCCTTTTTTTCGTTAAATCAATTTGGTTTTCAACCGAAATTTTTTCTGGAAACGCCCCTGCTCTTGCGTGCCCTCCCTCACCGCCGCATCTGTTGAACCCCCTCCCGAAGAGGGGTCAACAGATGCTTAGGCTTAGGCTTCAATAGTTATTGAGGTTTGCAAATTTACCACCTCTTTAAATTCCGAAAATTACTTTTTAAATTCGCAAACCATGACACCCAACGATTCGTCCATACTCTTTCAAATGCCGTCGAAAAGCGGAGTCGAAAAAGAGTGCTAACAAGGGAAGGTTGTTTGGGTCAGGTGTCAAATCGACTTGAAACTTTTTCAGTGGATAGAAAATCAAAAATAAAGTGGACTTTCTTAATCTCATTTTTGCACAATACCCCAAATTAAAAAGTTATAGGCCTTTGAAGTTACATAAAAAAACACGAAATGACCCGACAATTCTGACCTGGTCCTCATTGTGGTCTGCCCCCTTTTGAAGCCCTTGCGTCTCCCATACCGGCAAGTTGTTTGGCGCAGTAGGTAGTGCCGTAGAGTGCGAAACTTTTAAAATTTTTGTAATCGGGTTCAAGTTTTTGATGCGTCCAACTTTTTGCTTTTTGGATGTTACATAAATAAGCTCAATAGGGAGAGCATCGGACTCGAAAGCCGTAGGTGGCGGGTTCGACCCCCGCCCGGAGCACTTGTCTCGCGGATTGGACCCGAGCTAGGCCATGGCCATGGTACCCCAGAATTCCCAACTAACTGGCAAATTTTCATAAAGATTTGACACCTGACCCAAACAACCTTCCCTTGTAAGCTTTGTTCGGATGGCTCGCAAACGTTCTCGAATAGGTTTTGCGAACCGTAAAAGGCTGTCCATGGGTAATCCGAACAAGACTTGGTACAGTGTTTTTGGACCCTGTTTTTTCTACGTGATCTGAACCTGATCGGTTTAGTAGGGTGCACCATTTTTGAGATTAAAAAAAATTATTTTTCTGGTTGAATTTATCTCTAAAGTGGCAAACATTCAAAAATTATCTTGAAAACTATCCTGTAGAATTAGCTGAAATTTTGGGATTAGGCCGTGAGTATTTTGAGCGTAACGAATAGAATATTCCAGCGAATGGGTGTTTGGCCGCCTGATAAAAGGTAAATCCATGCAAAAAAATGCGCATCTTGCTATGCTAGTGCTATGAGGCGGCCGAACACCCATCAAATCGAAAACTGCCAAAAAAGCTGTTTTTGCTACGCAATATACCTGTGTTCCGGCCATTTACGTGCTTCGCAAAACTAAATCAACCAAACATAAACTTTTTAAAATCTCAAAACCGTGCCACCCTACTAATTCGATCATGCTCTTGTAGATGAAGTAAAAAACAGGGTCGAAAACATTGTAAAAACTGTCGGGCGAGCCGCGGAAGGTCTTTTAAACTAAACTTCCCTTACGTATTAGCCTGTTATGCACGGTTAAAAACTTTTTAGGATGACTGTTACGTTCTATAAAACCATTGTTCTTATTATCTGTGGCAAAGCAAATAACCCCAACCGACAAATATATATTTATATAATTTAGCACAGCCTGACACCTTCGAAAAGCTGATCGAGCTGATGAAGGGTAACCTGCTTGTACCCAAAAAATATTTAAATTTAGGTGAATATGATGATCTGATGCAGCCAGCGTAAGCCTTTTACATCAAACCGGGGTTCAAAAACCGCTTCGCGGCTTTGGGAGAACAATGGCAGCTTTTACTTTGCGTAGCACTTCTGGAATCAGGATGGTAAAAACGTGGGGAAAAATACCTTTTCTTGTCCGTTTATATAGCCTCCCCCCACTTCGGGCGTATTCAAATCGATTCCTAGTTAGAGGGGCGGTCGGGAATTTTGAGAAAAATTTGACTATAATGTCGAAAACAGCACTTTTTCAAAAATCAAATATTTGTGCAGTAATCTGGAGATCGTTAAGCATACCGTATCATACAGGGTGTCCCAAAAAAAGTACCCCCTTTAGCGGTCCGGAGGCAGCTCGGATCGGGATGGTCCCTACACTATTCGAAAGCCCTTGAAAAGGCGAGAAAACAACCGGGTCCGTTTTCTTAAAATGTTTAGAATTTTACCGTTATTAAACATTTTGCTGGAAAACGCGTGGTTCTTCTCCGGCAAAATCGCAATTAGCATGCGGACCTCCCATAAATCAGCTTCTTTAACGGTTTTTGGTAATAAAGGTACACAATGAAATCACGTAATCTAGAAAATGAAAAGCGCTTGTTTTCTCGCCTTTTCGAGAGCTTTCGATTGATACCTAATTCATCAAACTCGGACACGACTGCGGTACGCTAGAGGGGGGGAGGTACTTTTTTTGGGACACCCTGTACATGCCTTTAGCCTCTTTCCTTCTCGTGATATTTTCCGAGCAGCCTGACGGAAGTTGCATGCAAACGCACAAACATAGACACTATTTTTGACCTCTTTCAGAAGTGCCATAAAGTTACGATAGAAACGATTCACTACCAAGATGATAAGTTTGAGCTCTTAGTGAAATGCCTAAATATGCAAAAAAAAGTAAATCGGAACTGATTTTTGAACGGCGGGCCGAGGTCATTTACCATTTTCTTGTAAATCAAACTGAAAGATCCCAGAAGAATAGACTTGTGATTCCATCCCAAGGATCAAATAGAGAAGTTGTTTTTACATATTCCTATCGCTAAAACATTTTCTCTCTAAACCGTTTGAAGGAAGTATAAATAGGATGAAAAATATTGCATGAACCTCGGTTCAACCTAACATAAACTGTTAAAGGACTGGAGAAAGATGGCCAGGCGCCTTGTTTCTCTCCTTTCTTTCTAGATCCCTTTAGAGGGGCGTGGAAGTGCCAAATATACGCCTTTTGGGGAGCCTTGGATTTCTGGCAATTTGCGCATTATCGTGTTTTCACAAAGAAATCGCGCAAGGATCGAAAGAGCCAGAGGCTCTCTCTCCTACCGTTGCGGCCGCTTGCACTTTTTCAGAAACACAGGGTGTCCCAAACCCCCCTCCTCTAGAGGCCGTCAATCGGATCGGATTGGAAGGATTTTTATACCAATCGAAAGCTCTCGGAAAGGCGAGAAAACAGGCGGGATTTATTTTATGAGATTTATTTTTATACGCTGGATATTCAACGTTTTTCTAAAAAAAGGTAGATTTTCAATAGGAATTTCGCGATTAGCATGCAGATCTCGCGTAAATCTGCCGTTTTCATGGTTTTTGGACGTAAAATTTGCTAATAAAAATAGATAATAAAGAAAATGAACCCTCTTTGTTTTTTCGCCTTTTCAAGAGCTTTCAATAGATACCTAAACGATAAAAATCGGACACGACTGCTCGCCGCTAGAGGGGGTTTGGGACACCCTGTATAAGACTCCTCCCAAAAGGGCTTATTACACTTCCGCACCCCTTTAAAATTAAACATATTTTAGCGAATTTAAGGCCATTCAAAGATTTTGTGCCATTACTTTCTTTCGAACCTGACATAGGGTTTCACATAAGACGGAATTTGGTAGAGCAATATCGTTCAGATGCATCCTCTCTGCGGTCTATGAAGAAGCCGACGGATCAAGGGTCGCTCTGGATATGGAACTCCTACAAATCGAGCAAACGATAAAATCGTTGGTTGGTGACAAATTAGCTATTGCGCATTTTTTTGACAGATTTCCGTCTCTCATTATTTTCCAGCGACCTGCTACAGTACAGGGTGTCCCATAAAAAAAGCATCCATCCGGCATTTTGCCGTATTACATCCGATCTGTCCCAAAATTGAACCAGAGGTGTATCAGACCCTAAATAACCACAATCCTGAGTTATGGCCCGCCAGCTACAGTTATCTTCGAGATACAACAAAAATAAACTTTATTATCCGTTTTTCATGATTTTCGTCGGAATCGACCCTTCGAATATTAAGTGAAAATGAAGCGGCAAGCCTTCTTTTCCCCTAGAGATTTTTTCTGCTTAAAATTAGTGAAATAACCGTTGATTTCAAAAATTTTTGTAACGCGAAGTCATCCCCGATATTAAGCGAACGTAGGATGCAAGTCAGCCGCCAGAAGTCGATGCAAACCGATGCAAAGTCCGATAACAACATTGTTATTAGATCGTTTAATTTTCAATGCGTTTGTATTTTAGATATTGTATGGAGGTGCCTGCCTCAACATCACCGAGGACGGCAATCCGTTCCGCATTGAGGCAAAGCGAAAAGAACTGGCTTCCATCATAACAGAAATCACTCGCCATGCGGCTGACTGGGCGGAAAAAAAGGAGGTAGGCTACTTCACAAAAAAAGAGTTCAAAAGTTCAGATTGTAGAACCTCATTGTAAACATAACTGCTCTCCCCCCTACGCGCCTATTTCCTCGTAACGTCAATACTTCGAAAAACATGCGCAGCGGCTACGCTTTGCGCTTTTTATCTCATAAAAATCCATGATGCCGTATGTCATATCTTTGCTCAAGCGTCATTCAGCCTAGCTTGGTGTGGCAATAGATCAACTTCATTTGATATTGCATTGAACGATTGCCAAGAACCATTTTTGATTCCCTGTTTGGTCTGGCAATCACCTCCGAGTATAAAAACGAAATAAAAAAAAATCTTATTTTAAGGGCGCAGTAAAGTCTAAAAAGCCTAAAAGTTTTCTAACAGCTTCCAGCACTAGCCATTATTGCCGACATTAGATGTTTATACGTTTAGGAATAGTAAAGACAGTTACAAAACAATTCGGAAATTTATATTAAAAAATGGATTGTGTCAAAGCTCCCCGATAATGCAAACCCAGCAACTGCATTCAGACGATAAGTATGATGTAAAATAGTAGGAGTACCACCTATACAAATTGTATCCGTACCCCTAAAAATGCCATTTTTACAAAACTTTTTTAAGGGGTCACCAGGGTTGAAAAGCCGCTTTGCGACTTTTCAACCCTGGCCCCGTCTGATCCCATGATATTCTTTACTTTACATAATTCTCACGATTTTCGATGACAAAAATGAGAAACGCGACCTCTCTTCCCTTTATATAGGCTACCGCAACTTCCGGCGTATGCTAATTGTTTCCTAACAAAAGAGGGCTCTGGATTTTTCAACGAAAAACTTAATTTTAACGTCGAAAACAGCAAATTTTTGAAAATTTGATCAGTGTGCAGTGATCCCAAGGCCATTACGCACCTAATGAGGTATAATACATACCCCCAACTACCTCCCTTTTTGAGATACTGCTGGAACACGCTGACGGAAGTTGCATGCAAATGCACACACATACACACACAGACACTATTTTTTTATATATAGTAGGATACTTCTCAAAACCTTTAAAGATCTATAGAAATTCGGCATTATGACCTATCAATAAGATTTTTTCTGTTTTGCCGATGGTAACCGATGCCGTCAAAACACCGGGGTCGAAAAAACTATGCCAAGCCTTCTTTGGGTGGCTCGCAAAAGGTCTTTTAAAGCAAAAGAAGAAACAGGCTCCGCGCACAATAAAAGCGCGCGGGTAATGAGAAAATCGCGAACCCGACTCTTGACTGTTTAGGTCCTAAATTTTAGGAGACCGCGTGGCCACTTGGCCAGCATGAACGGGCAAAAAAATCAGCTGTGGTCACTGATACCAGCCACTGCCGAAGCAGCTGCAGCTGTTGTGCAACAAGCTTTTGAAACATCGGGACTGAAACAGTAAGCAGAATGGGTGAGTGTGAGTCAGCGAGTGATTGATTGGGTGAGTCGGTCAGGGCGTGATTGAGTCAGTGAGTGAGATACAGAGATATTCTTATTACTTTATTACTTATTACCTTGAACAAACTAATTTTGCAACACGGGTTTTTCAGATACGAGTACCAAACTGTGGCACACCCGGGTTCTTTGAAGGCTGGCGCTCAATATGTCACCCAGGGATCGAACCGCACCTACTACTGTGTAAAGGACACTGCCGGATGGACCGTTCATATTTACCGGTTCAACTACTCGGACCGAGGGTTTTGCGCGGGTGTGGCGAAGTCAAAACAGCTTCTACAAGACAAGGAAAAGGATCTGGCAAACGCTTTAAGGTGAGTTGTTGACAACTTTGCCGGCAGGTAAAGGGATCTTACCGGTGCTCACGGTAAAAACAAACCTACTTTGTTTGGGTCCTCTCCCCAATAGTGCCGTTACCAGCCCACAATCTAGGGTCTCAGGCTGTCATTATGGGCCCCGCACATCAGCATTAGCCCCATTCGTACCCCACAAAGCCAGGTACTACCTCTACAGTAGTGATGGGGTTATTCAAATCAAATCATGACTCAAATCTGAGAGCTCAAATCTGAATATTTGAAGGCAAAAATCTCAATTTCAAATCGGCGGATTTGATTTGAAATCCCGTGGGCGAGTTCAAATCAAATCCTGAGGATTTGATTAAGCTTCCGGTCCTTAATCAAATCTTATGGAGATGCCGGCATGCAAAACATAAAAAAATTGCTATGGCCGAGCTGCCGCGAACCGGAAATGACCTTGATTATGCATACCATCATACAATTAGCATCCGCGTAACGAGCTATTGATTTTTTCGACTCCTTTCAAATCCTCGTTCAAATCTTCAGATTTGAACTCAAACCTCGAAAGTCCAAATCAAATCGATTTGATTTGAAGTGCTGAAACCTTATTCAAATCAAACCGTCAGATTTGATTAGGCGGATGCAAATTAGGTTTGAGATTTGAATAATACCATCACTACTCTACAGGGTGTCCCAAACCCCCCCCCCCTCTAGAGGCCGTCAATCGGATCGGATCGGAATGATTTTTATACCAATCGAAAGCTCTCGGAAAGGCGAGAAAACAAGCGGGTTTCGTTTTCTAAGATTTAATCTGATTCTATCGATATTTCAGGTTTTCCTAAAAAGCCGGGAATTTTTTATCAGGAATTTCGCAATTAGCATGCAGATCTCGCATAAATCAGCAGTTTTCATGGTTTTTGCACATACAATTAGCAAATAAAAAGGCTTAATTAAGAAACTCAACCCTCCTTGTTTTCTCGCCTTTTCGAGAGCTTTCGATAGATACCTAAATCGTAAAAATCGGAATCGACTGCGGACCGCTAGGTAGGGGGGGGTTTGGGACACCCTGTATGTCTATTTTAAAAAAATTACAAAAATTTTAAAACATTCAAAAAAAACTTGTTAAAAAGGTTGGTCGAGTCGAGTCGGCCTTTTAAACCATCGACACGCAACGCTTTTTTCAAAGGTCACAACAACCTAACGGGTTCTTGTGACGATCCCATGCCCCGCGGAAGCTGTTTTGCCGACAACGAATCCCCGCCGTAGCTTGTTCCGAATTCAATTCTCAGGTCAGCTCCTGAGCATTTGGAGGCGCATCGTGCCCCCGGTTTGGACATTATCAATGACCGCCCTACCTTTTCACAAAGTCGCCAACCAAAACTGCCGTTATTCTGCTATTTTCTGAATTCGGCTTGTTTACAAGGAGTCGTTTTTAGGTGCTTTTGGAGTTTCGGGACGGGACCTAGCTAGTTCGATAGAGAAAAAAATTCTGAGCAACATCTCGTTTTCAAAAAGTGCTGATCGATAAAGGTGTTATAGAAAATTTAATTTAATTAAAAATGTTCCCGGTATCCGGACCGTTGAGGTGATTTGAGGTTATCTGCGGCGGTCGACCGCCCCCGCCATATCGGGACTTCACGCGCCCTGGATCCCGTCCTAGGTATGGCCAAGTGGCTAGTGCGTCGGCCTACGAAGTTTATTTGGCCTTTTGCCACAAGTTCGATTCTTATTTATCGTGAACTTTTTGCTTTTTTGCTTTTTTGCTAATTAAAATTTTATGCGCCGATAACGGGTTCAAGAACCAAAAAGCATACGGTTAGCCAGCGCGAAGATTCGAACCCGAGGAAAAAATGTTAAAAAGTTGGTAGGCAAGCGCGCTACCAATACGCCAATGCGATCTGTGATGGAGGCCTTGGCGGAATGTTATGAATGGCGCCTTGCCCAGCCCCGAAAACGACGTGAACCGAGGAAATGGACCCGAAAACTGGAAAAAAGCGCGAACTTTAAATTAAATTTTCTAAAATTCCTTTATCGATCAGCACTTTTTGAAAATGGTATGGTGTTCAGAATTTTTTTTCTCTATCGAACTAGTTAGGTCCCGTCCAGAAACTCCAAAAGCACCTAAAGCGACTCCGTGTTAGTGCTTGGAATGATTGGGAGCGAAATTTCCCCAATATCGCGTCAAAAACCGATACAACCTTCCAATAAAAATATTTTATTGAGGTTTTCCGTATTAATAATTGCAGTCAAATTCCAGTTAATTTCCGTAGAGACTGGTGAAGAAGCAATTGCGATGCGGGAAGGCTTTTTTGGGTTCCATATAGCGCGTTTGATGTCTTTCGGTGCAAAACCTGTTTTTCAATAAAAAGCCATTATAACTTTTTTATTTCTTCTGAACTATCAAATCATTTGTTAGGGCTAATACGAGCTAGGAAGATCGCATTTTACAAGCATTTTCGCCGTTGGCGGTAATTTTGCGGGCGGAAACGTCATGGTCTTTCGAATCGCCCCGCATTCGATGCACAAAGTTGAAACAAGCTTTTTTTATATTAGCTTTAGTTTTAAAGTTATAAGGATAACAAGGAGTCGTTTTTAAGTGTCGTCGCCGCTTTTGGGATGGGACCAAGCCTATCTTGAGCAGAATTATTTGTTTTTTCAGAAACAACTGTTTTTCGGTCCCAGCATAATTTTTTTAAGTAGCGGATGTGATTCTGAATACCTTTTAACTATTCCTAAGCAAAGAAACAATATAAATATTAATTAAAAAGCGGGGTTGAAAAGCCGCTTCGCAACTTTTCAACCCTCGCCCCGTCTGCTCCATTACTCATTATACAGGGTGGCCCAAAATAAGTGTATACATACTTAATGCTCTATAAAAATATTTAGCGGCTTCATCCAAACTTTGCTTAGTAACAAAACTAAAGATAAAGGGTAGACTCAATATAGCCTCGAAGGATTTTTAAGATGGGGCCGTAATCTTTGAACAACAGCCCCAGAAGCCTGCCTCCAAATAGGGTCCGGGCGACGCAACTTTTCGAGACCTCCGGTTCGGGTGATAAAATCGATTGTATTTTTAGCGGAGCTCTCCACTCTGCATAAGAATCATAGGAATTGCTAAATATTGTTTGAAAGCAGCTGTCCAGATAGTCAAATACGAAAATAATGGCTTTGACATTTAATTATGCATCAAACTACCCAGCAGTCCGAATTTCGCCAATTTTGGTCAAAAACTCCTCCAATAACTAGCAGTAATGGGTGTTTTGCAAAATGCCGGCATTCGTTAGCTTATGCCGCACTTCTTCGTCAATTTTGTCTATCCCAGCCAAGGTCGTTTTCTTTTTTAAGAACAAAAGTATCGAATGCTGGCCTCGGGTTCTGTTTTCATCAGTTCGGCCGCGCATCACAAAAGGCTCAATATTTTTTTGTTTATTCGACAAGCAGCAGACGAGGATAAAATTCGGAGTGATAAAAATGGGCGATTTCCCCGGGGAGAGCGGGGGCCTTACGACACGAAATGGGGGGCGCCGTGGCGGGACCACAGGCTACGATCACAAGGGCACGCGATAGGGGGGAGGCGACTAGAGTCTAGCCTTTCGCTCCACAACACCTCCCTCCTTTTAGGGAAGATTGAAAGTCGGCACATGACCAGACTGGAGGTGTGTGAGGAATGAAAAACCGAATGTGGGTACAGCATAAAAGTATCGTGAAAAGATTACACAGAATTTACATAGCAACGCGAAAAGAAAAATGCTTCTTTCATTCGTTTAGCTTAATTCTTGCGTAGGCTGAACACGGGCACCATCACATCGGAGCACGCATCTTGCGCTGGGGCTCGGGCAACTTGTCGGCATTTGGCAACGGCAGTGGCGGCGATCCCTCCTTCTCTTCCTCGAAAGATCCTTGACACATTGACGACTTGTCGGGCTTGCGGAGCTGATTGATGTAGCGCGTCCGTAGCAGTCCATTTTCCAACTTGACAGTGTAGAGGAATTTGGAGTCCTTGTGTAGAATTCTTGCGGGCGTCCAGGTAGATTTATCCCTGCGCCATTCCTTAGCGTAAACGTGTTCACCTGGTGAGAAACAACGTTGTCTTGCTGGGCGGCGTCGGTGGGCAGTCCTCACGACCAGTGCGGCGGGGCTTGGGGCACGCAGCGAGCGCATTGGTGGCTTCATTTGTAGCTTGCGTCCCATGAATTCAAATGGCGGATTTTCATTCGACGGTTCGGGCTTGAGCAGTGCACGGAATGCATCCATTGCATCCGTATTCTTCAGCCAGTCGAGGCCGAGAAGGGTGTGGCCATCGATGACGTGTCCAACACCGATCATCTCCTTCTTGTCGATGACGTACTTGCTCTCGAATGTCCCATGAACCTTGATGTCCCGTCCATTTGCGGCCTTCATCTTGAGTGACGTTGGCTTGAGCGCGGGCTTGCCGATCTTGACCCAGTCCTTCTTGTCGAGGAGAGTTACGTCGGCGCCCGTGTCAACACGCATCTTCAGCGGGTGCCCGTCGATCGCCACATCATGGTATAAACGATCGATGTCGTGGTCCGAAAAATTTGAACCTACAAAAACGACATTTTCTTCCGCGGGCGGTTGAACTTGGACTGGGCATTCATTATCCCAGTGTGCACCTTCACAATGTCGACATGGCCTTGTACGTTTGTTTTGAAATGCTCGGTTTTTCCGATTATGACCGATAACCTAGCTTAGAGATGCAGGGCTTTTCTACATGAAGTGCAAATATAAACCTGCCAACGCGCGCGCTCGATTCGGAATAGAACAAAGTACCCAGCTCATTTGCGGCGCACGGACCCTATTTGGAGGCAGGCTTCTGGGGCTGTAGTTTAAATATTAAGGAAAGTTAACAAACTAAGAAAAGTTTGGATGCAGGCGATAAATATTTTTATAAGGCATTAAGTATGTATTATACACTTATTTTGGGTCACCCTGTATGAGCTAACACCACTTCCGGTGTATGTTAATTGTCTCTTAACAAAGAGGGCTCCCGAAAATTTTACAAAATTTCGAACGTTGAAAATAGCTAATTTTATATATTCTTATATGCGTGCAGCCGTTTTTGCATTTCAGACGGTCGCTTGACTCCGCCACAGCCAGCGGCTGTTGGGACCGCTATTTCGCCCCTCTCGGTCTCGTCGGTCCGAATGCATTTAACGGCAGCCTACTCATCGTCAATCAGGAATGGCATTGCCCAGATGCGAGGGTCCCGACCGGCAACTTCACTTTGCAGTCTTGTCCCTTAGAAGGCGTTATGGCCGCTTCACGTGAAATTATCCAAAATTATTTTTGGACTGATTGTGAATATAGGACTTTCTACTTGTTCAATTAAACTGTTTTTTTTTATGTTGGATATTGCCTTTTTTCAAAACAGCTTTTCTTGTGAAACTTTTTTCCTTGTTTTCCTATCCATATGTGTAGTAGCTGAATGACGACTTAAAGCGGCACTTTCAGTAGCTCCGTTCCTTCCGTGCTGTTGCTGTGTTCTTCTCGCAATTAGTGTGGCCACCAATCTTCAATAAATCGCTGTCAATAAATCGCTGTCAATAATAATAACAACTCATAGAGAACTAATGAAGAGAACCTTTGGAAAGTAAGTTACGACTGCTTAATATTAATTACGTCGATAGGAGTCCCCCGTCAGTCCCGCACCAGGCGCGTAGAAGGGGGGGCAGCGCTGGCTCCCCCCGAAATCGGGCGGGCCCGAAAAACCTAAGGGTCCCCCCTTATGATTTTTTTCATCTTGAAAATTTTTTCGCCTGCGGCGCTATTTTTATTACTTTTTATTAACCTTTTTTTGCCTGCGGCGCTGCTATTTTAGCAACATTTTTCGCCTGCGGCGCTTAAATTGCGAACAAATTTTCTTGCTGCCACCCCCTCCGAAATGTCGCTGCCCCTCCCCAAACTTGGGGCCAGCTACGCCCCTGTCCCGCACCCCCGGGGACGCCCGGACAACGTTCCAAGGGTATTTAATGTCCAGCCGATTACAGTCGCTTCGCGACCTTACCCCTCGCCGAAACGCGCGCGACCTGGCTCACTATGTCCAAACTCGGGTCATTCCGTTCCCAAGACGCCACTTTCAAAGGTAAATTTAATAATTTAAACAAGAACTTTTTCATAATTTTTTATCAGTTTGGGGGTTCTGACCGCGCTCTTTCCGAATCCGAAGAGACCCAAGCTCTGGCTCCTTCCGCCTTTGAGTTGAATTCGGGACGCGACGGACAGCCGACGCTTACGCATACCAAAGCAAAATTATTATAGTAGATTTTTGGAATTTTTCGGTGAAACGTTATTAGGTGAAAGTAGAAATTCAGATTACATATTTGATGGAACAAATAAGCACTTTCGAAATTCGTGGCAAATGCCTCACTAACTCAATTTGCGTGCACAAAAGCGATGGAGCCACCATTTGCATCGGACCATTTCCGGCTTATCATCTAAAAAAAAGCACACAGTCTTTCTCTTTTCCCGTCGCGAAATCGGCGTCTAACGGCCATATTCAGCGATAATACGGTATTTCGTTCTACCGCATGCTGGCCCTGCTGCTCTTCATCCTCGCCATCCACTCAACGATGGCCGAGAAATATTGGTTCGTGGTGAACGCATTCGTCTTAGTTTCTTTCATTCGTCTTTCCTCTAGTAAGAATACAACCGCTCGACCGGTTTTCCACAACAAACGCCAACCATTCGCACTTTAGGCACGGCAACGCCATCGACATGATGCGCCCGCCCGTTCCGATCCGAGACCCGGCGAAGACCGCCGATGTCATGTTTCGCATCATCATATCGGGGACCGTTATTGGTTTGTGTCAAAATATACCTATCCAGCGTAATCAAACGGCGGTCCCAAAAAGATCGCCTCTAGCGCATCTAACGCGATTTCGGTATCGATCGAACCAGATTTAGAGATATGGCTGAACCCCAGATACCACCAGCCGGCCCCCCAACTTTTGTATCCCGGCGCCCTGTTCATCTACAGGTGTGTAAAGTATACCAAATACTCGCCAGAGCAAGACGAACATTTTGGTATACTTTACACACCTGTAGATAACAGGAGCCGAGATACGTTGGGGCCTACTGGCTGGGGTATCTGGAGTCTTACCAAATCTTTCAAATCTTACCAATCTGGACGTTCCTGCGAGCCGCGCGAATAAGGTCTTTTTTTCGGACGCAACGCTTCTCTATTAATCCGATAACGCCATTTCTAGGGCTGTTTTGCCTGTTCGTTTACTGCATGTCAAACTGTCGATGGAAGTGCCGCTTCGTGGAGGTCGAATACGTCGTGGAGGAGCAAGTCGACGACGACGCTGTTGACGTCAGGGATGTCGTGCTGTACCCGGGCTCCGATGACGACGATCTCGCGAAGATACCTGTCGAGTTTGGCCGGCCGCTGCTGATCATGATCGGGATGGCGGCAATGCTACAAAACCCGGCAACCAGGTAGGTTTATGGAATTAAAACTTCCCGGCAAAAAACCCTAGTTGTGGTTCTGGACTGTTAGCGGGGGGCAAGTTCTTTCCGTGTGGTTCTCTACGGTCCAATGACAAAATATAAACCATTTTTATGGTATTTTACATCGTTTTTAGATGTCAAAACAATGATAAAAATTTTCGAAAATTTGTGACTTTTCGTCAAAAATGTACGAAAAATGACCAAAAATATCAAAATTTTTAAAAATATATTTTATAACTTCTTAAAAATCAAATATGACTAAACACACTGTAAAAATACATAATAGATCATCAACAGGTGGAAAAACACAAGGTGGTTTTTGCTCCTGCTAAAAATTCATCCTCCCCCGCTAACAGTCCAGTACCAGTACTTTTGCCTCAGGTCAGGCGACAAAACCTGGGAAGCATTCCTCCGCGACGAGGCCACCGTCATGAAAACTGCCATCAGCAAGAAGACGATCACCCTGGACCTGGCGACGTGCTGGTGTCGTCGTATCGCCGCCGCCGTCGCCTCGGATACGATGGGGCAGCTCCTTCAAGCGCTCGAAACGGTCGAGCGATTCACCAAGGTTTCGATATTGTCGAGCGATCAGCTGATGCGGGTGATCATCTCCATGTCGCTCGGCCGTCGCGCCCTGCCCGCCGTGTTCCCCCCCGGACACAGACGGGTCGCTCGAACGATTCGCTAAATGGTGGGCCGAGCTGTTGTGCGCCCAGGGCCACAGCTACGACGACATCCAGGCCGTCGTCACCGCATATACCACAGAGCTTGCCGATGAAGTGATCCGGGCCATGTCAAATGTAGGGCAGTTTTCGCGTAAATAAAACTGCAAAAATCATAGCTAAATAGGTCCATAAACCACAGCAAATTAAAGATTATGCGAAAAATCCCTGCTTGGTTCTTTGGTTCTCAGGCGCCCTAAACCGCGCTCTCACGACCCGCCGTCCGGGTGGCACCATGGTGCATTGGCAAAGTGCTCGCTTGCCGAGCGCAGGGCGGCGGTTCGAATCCCCGCCCCGCATTATTTTTCCTACTTTTTGCATGACGCATCTAATTTTTTGCTCAAAAACTTGTTTTGACCTTTAAAATGCTTTTCTAGCCAATATCTAGCCAAGTTTGACGTTGAAATTGATCACGGAAAACGAAAACTATAACGATATCTTGTTTTTGGTGAAACCCCACCATAATTGCCGCATAACTTTCAAAATAACAGTTCGCAGCAGATTTGGAAAACGGATTCGGAATCAGCGACAAATTCTGCACAGGATGCACTTGGTCGCGAATCAAAACTCAAAGTTGAGTGAAAACACTTTACAGGAAGAACACTATTAAATAACTCCCTGTTAAGTTACTAGGCATTTCTCGCCTTATACAAAGATTTTGCCCCCCCCCCGATAATGCGAAAGAACCGTATTTTGCTTCAAAGTCACGATTTCAGGGTCTATCGATCGTGCGACAGGACAAGACAGCGCAGCGAAAGCACCGCAAGAAGGGCCAGAGGCAGAAGTGGTAGCGGACGGCTCTACTGTCTACTCCAACGAAACAGATGCCAAAATACTTTCTCATCGAATTTCATTCTTTCATTTATATTGCGTCGCTCTGTGTACATCGAATGAACTTGAATAAATGGTACCTCTCAAGATAGCGCCGCAGGCTTAAAAGGCCGTTCGCGAGAGACCCGAACTGGCTTGGTACAGTTTTTTTGGACCCTGTTTTTTTGACGCCATCTGAAAGAGCATGGTCGAATTAGTCGGGCTGTACTACGGGTTAACGGAACCTAAAGATTATTCTGAAAGCTCGATATTCAACGTTTCTAAAAAGGCGAGAATAATAGGAAAAGCGGGCTTACATTCTAAGATTTACTACCGAAATCTAACGGCCGTTTCTGCTGGAAATAATTTGGGTCAATCGGCAATAAAAAAAAATAACTTATAGGACAGAGCTGGTAAACCCCTTGTAGAATCGGACAGTAAAAATACATAAAAGGACGAAAATGGCCGGCGCAGAGGGGGTTTTTTTGCGTACTATAAACAGTTTTTGAGGGTTTTCTACTACAAGGCGGGTCCGGCGCATCTTGAAACTAGTATAGAAGGATGCGCCGGAAAATTCTGGGTCGAATGATGTGCTTTCCAAGATGCGCCCAACTCGCCTCTAGCCGCTGTACCGAGGTTTCGACGTTGAAAACCATCAAAATTGACGTTTTTTGGGAGGATTCCCGGGGGCAGGTCAACGAGAGAGTGCGGAAGGCGTAGAGAGGGCAGACCACAGCCCTGGGGGGGCCAAGTGGGGGGCTCCAGAGAGCCCCGACTCGACCCCCCAGGCCGTTGTCTGCCGTCTCGCTCTCCCCCTTCTCGCACTCTCTCGTTGACCTGCCCCCGGGAATCCTCCCAAAAAACGTCAATTTTGATGGTTTTCAACGTCGAAACCTCGGTACAGCGGCTAGAGGCGAGTTGGGCGCATCTTGGAAAGCACATCATTCGACTGAGAATTTTCCGGCGCATCCTTCTATACTAGTTTCAAGATGCGCCGGACCCGCCTTGTAGTAGAAAACCCTCAAAAACTGTTTATAGTACGCAATATACCTATGTTCCTGCCATTTTCGTGCTTTCAAATATATTAGAGAAATGATCCCCATCCCAAATTAGGCATTGACAAAAATTTTCAGCAAGATCGGCCGTGTGGTTTTCGAGATAAATTTTTGAGGTACGCAACTTTAGCCGCCATTTAAACCCCGAAAATGAACTTTTAGAATTCTCAAAATAGTGCGGCCCGACTAATTCGACCATGCTCTTTCAGATGGCGTCAAAAAAACAGGGTCCAAAAAAACTGTACCAAGCCATCATGGGGCAGTTCGGCTCTCTCGCAAACGGCCTTTTAAAGAAGGAGCTAGCCGCTCAAACTCGCGCCACAGGCCTTATGACGAAGCAAGGCCTTCAAAGTCGCGCTGCGGGCTCACATTTACCTGGACCCCTCAAGCATGCGCCGCTGGCTTAGGAAAGAACAAGCTCCGTCAATTTCACGCCGCAGACCTTCGAACGCAGCTAGCCGCGCAAACTAGCGCGGCAGGCCGGCATGAAACAATCGTCTCAAGCTTGCCAAGGCCAAGGAATGGCGTCGAAACCCAAGCCTGCGCCGCAGGCTTAAGATGGAAGCTAGCCTCACAAACCTGTGTCGCAGGCTTGAAGTTGAACAACTAGGGGCGCCTTGTTAAACCAGTAAAACCAAAACTAGGGTAGGTTTAACTTTGATTTATCAGGAAAAAAGCCGAGTTCGATCTCGCCCGAGGTCAATCTTTTGCTTTTTGCTTTTTTCGCCGGAAATTTTTAGAAATACCAGGAATATACCTTGCTAGTCTTATTTAGGTGTTCTAGATTTCAAACCACACTTGCGGGTAGAAGAAATCGGATTCCACTGGGAAAAAGACATTTTTTTCTAATGAAGTGAAATTGTTAGAGAAAGGGAACCGATTGGAGAGAAAGCCTCAGCATAACACTTTACAGTAGACAAAAACGAGACGTTTTCAGATACGATTTGGCCCTTCTCATTAATGCTCGGTCATTGTTGATCCGAGGTCATTGGCTGCACATCTGTCCTTTTAGAATAAAACCCCTCATTCATCCGAGTCCTTTTAGGACCCCCGTCTTTTTGGTTCATTATTTTATATCAAAGGCAACGTTTTATCCATACAGAACGTCGCGATGTTCCCGGTTGGCCATCTCCCAGATGCGCTTTTCTCCGCGGTCACGAATCAACTGGGCTTCTGCGACTTGCTCAGTTTGCAACGCGTCAACAGGCCGATCAGGTAGCACTTTCAAATCCGAACGTTCAGACTAAAATTGCAAAAATTTAGCAACGGGGTTTAAAAACCGCTTCGCGGCATTTCAGCCCTGGACTTCGCCTAATTGGGGAATTTTGCCGAGAATTGCAAGTTCTCGATTGTGCCATTTGGTCACGGCTAAAGGGATACCGTGTTCAAAGTTTCTTAGGATACACTTCAAATATCGTTAAATTTTACAAAAAAAAAAACAATATTAAAATATTTCCTATAAGTTCACCAATGATTTCTGGACTTCAAGAAAAAAGTTGCTCGATAGCCGCACGCGATAGATCTAGAAAAACTTTTAAAAAACTTGGAAAGAGTCGAGATTTTTGTCATGTTGTCTAAGATTAAAATTGTAATAATGATAGTACAATTTTGATGCTTATGAATCGTTGAAAGCGATCCAAACAAACGCTTCCACTAGCGCTACGACCATCAAAGTTGGCTGCCGCCCTCCTTCTCCACGATAGGTTCAGAAACTTCATCAACCAACGAGGCCTGTTTCCGCGGAAAATTCGTAGACTGATGGTCGATTGCCTCACCCCAAAGCCCGGGTTTGTTGGCAATGATAAGGTAAGATCATTTTTAGTCATAGTAGGTTACTCCCCAGCCGCTGCTCCTCAGCCACAATTCCTATTAATGCGCAGATTAAGGTTTTTCATGGATTTACTAGAAGGCCTCCTTGGTAAATCAAAAACGGCAAATCTTTTCCAAAAGCTATTTTTTCGGTAAGAGTTTACTTTACCCCCCTCCCAGCCGGAAGTCCCAAAATTTTTTAAAGGGATGCCCAACCTTTCCGGGGCTCAAAAAGCAAAAACCACGCCGCGGGCGGGGGTTCGAACCCGGACCCCGGTTTTCTAGGCCAGGATGCTATCCATTAGGCCATGGGGACGCTACAGGAGGGAAGGTGTCCGAATTCTGTGCGGCGGTGGCGCCTCATTGCCACACAAAATTCGCGCGTCATTTGTCGCCCACCCGAAGACAATAACGGAAATAACTATGTACCAGGGTTGGAAAGCCGCTTCGCGACTTTTCAACCCTGGCCCCGTCTGAGCCATTTTATCCTTCACTTTGCATAATTGTCCTGAATTTAAATAACAAAATATGAAAAACAATCTCTTCTGCCCCTTTATATAGTCGCGTCCCCACTTCCGGGATGCTAATTCTTC